CCAGACAAACAACAGAACCATGTGAAATAATAAGTGGCTGTTTTAAGCCACTAAGTCCTGTGACACTGTGCAGCAAAAGGTAACCATGCTAAATGTTAACGGGGATGATAATAATAACATCTCCTACATAGGACTGACATGAGGATTAGATGAATAAATATTCATTAGATGTTTAGAACAGTGCCTGGTAATACCAATTGTCATATAAGAACACATTGAACAAAAAAAAAGACTGACCTAGGACTCTGCAGGCATTAGAGTCTCACTCTAGTAAACACTCATATCGAGGAGGGCATGGTAATTTTCACTGTCTCAGGCCCTGGTCTTCAAAAAAATACCTTAAGTCAATGTGGAGTCACTTGGCGGTGGTAAAAAGAGTGTCCTGAAAACCCAAAGGTATTGGTTCTGTCTCTCGGAGCCTGGGTAAGCCCCTTCACTTCCCTGTGTCGCATGTCCACAGCCTTCACATGAAGACAAAAATCACTGCTCCCACATGGGGCTGTTGTGAGGGGTAAGTATGAAAATAGTTGTGGAAGAGCTTTGAGGAACAGAGATTCTTTAGCCTTTACTGAGATACCTCATGTCTGGCCCTTCCATCTGTGCCCATCTATCAGACCCTGAGGTCTGTACTTCCTTAAATTAAACCCAGGCTCTGTAGTTCTTGGCTACAAGGAGTCCCTCCCCAAAACCCTGAACTTCTTGCCTCCTCATCCTTTGCTCCACCCCACGTGGTGGAATCCTGGTCTCCAAACCTTAGGTTCCACTTACAACTTCCACAGCTACCTTCTCTGTCTTCTCCCCATTCACGGCTCAGCTTCTTGAACAAGAGTCCTGACTCACAGTCCCCACCTGCATTCCTGCAGCTGCCCCGTGGCTTCCCCCTGCGCCACCACCCTGACACTACTCCGGCCAAGATAGCCAGCTGAGTCACTAGAGCAGGCTCACACCTGTGTTCCAGACTGACTGGATGCTTCTCTTTCCGACTGCAGCTCAGGGACATCACATTGGTAGCTTCAAATCAAACATGGAGGGTGTATTTAAACCATGGAAATTGGCAAACACTATAAATCCGGCTTTGCCCCTCTCCCAAGGACAGGTTGTTAACAGTGCACCAATACACCTCTGCCTTCTAGCTGCTGAGTGCAGAATCGCACTTCCCAGACTTTTCTTACTTGGCTTTATCTTCATGTGACACAATTGATCATTTTTTCCTTTTGGAGAGGTTTTTCATCTCCAGCTTGCCAGCAGCCACTCCTCCAATTTTCCTCCTACTTCTTCTTGGCCCCCTCTCTGCCTCAGTCTCTTGCAGGTTTTTATTTAACACATCTTCCAAATACTGGTGTTTTCCAGCACTCTGTCTATACAAGTATCATAGGGGACATCTTACATTTCCATAGTTTCAACAATTCTGAAACCAAATGTTTACCCCTGACCCCTCCCAAGCCCTCACTTCCATATGAATCCAACAACAAGTCCTGCTGATTTTAACTTCTCCTTAGCTTTCAAATCCCATCCCCTCTTCTATTTTCACTGCCAACATGTAATCCAAGCCACTATCATCTCCTGGACCACAGCAGTCGTTTCCCAACTGCTCTACTTCTGGCCACTACTGTCCTCCAATTCATTCTCTACATTTCAGCCACAGTGACTTTTTCACCACACAAAACTGATTAAAATGCCTCTTCTCATCCCAATCTGTTTTAAATGACTCAATAGTTTTCCGTTGCTGTTAGTGTAAGATCCCAGTCCTTAGCATGATCTGGGAGGTCCCGCGTGGCCTACTTTATGTCCTGCAGGCTCACCTCAGATCCATCTCTCTTGCATTCTGGCCACCACTGGCTTCCCATGCGTGGTGTTCCTTCTAGAAGACTTTTTACATTCTACCCCTGCTACCTGGAAATGCTCCCCTTTCAACTCTTACTTATCTTTTAGATCTCAGCTCAAAAGTTACTTCCTCAGCAATGACTTCCTTCGAACTTCCAGACAAGGTTAAGTTCCTCATTAGATAGCACCATGTATTTCTTCTTCACGTAACTTATTGCAGTTGTAATTACTTACTTTTTGTGTTTTCCACTAGATCATAAGCTCCAGGACTACTTGTTCTGCCCACTCTTGTATTCCCAGTACCTACCTCAAGTATGTCTTGAATGAATGAAACATGACTTTCAAATGGATACCTGGTCAGTCCCCTCGTCTGAACTTCTGAGTCACATATCTAGCTGTCTGCTCGTGACTCCATCCTTCCAATTGCTCAGCCCCAAACCTAGGCATCATTACCAACTTCTCTGTTTTCCTCACCCCCTGGGACCTAACCCACCTGGAAATCCTATCAGATGTATCTTCAAAGCACATCTGGTCAGACAGTATATACCTCCTGAAGGAAAAACATAACCTAACCCAGGAAGTTATGTACAACTTCTCAGACTATGAGACTGGGGAGTCTATAGATTAAAGGACACTTAGCTAGCTATCTCCCCCAATTGTAGTGTGGGACCTTATTTGGATTCTGATTCAAGTTGTAAAAAAGTTATGACAATTATAAGAGGATCATAAATTTTAACTGATAGATTCGCTATGATGATATTAAGAAACTATTAATTTTTAAGGTGTGATAATACTATGCTTATATTAAAATGCTTATTTTTAGAGAGATGCATACTGAAATATTCACACATGAAATAGTATGATGTCTGGGATCTGCTTTTCAAAATAATACAATGGAGAGGTGACGTAGGTGAGGGTATAGCTGAAACAAAATTGGCTATGAGTTGTCAGTTATTGAAATTGGATGGTGGGTGTGCTGCGATTCATTTGATTCTGTGTACTTTTGCATTTTGAAATTTTCCTATTAAATGACTTAAAAATATCTATCCAGAATGTGACCTATTTTCACTACTCCCACCCTTGTTGAAGCCACTGTCATCTCTCTCCTGTACTACCACAGCCTCCCATGTGACCTTCTTGCCCCCACCCTTATCCCATCCTGTGGTGTCTTTACTATTAGTGAGAATGACTCTTACATGTCACATAATTTCCTCTGCTTAAGCCCTCTAATGGCTTGTTGTCTTGCTTAGACCTGTGATACATTTCTCTGACCTCAACTCCCATCTGCTGTCAGGACAGAAGTCCGACCTCTCTGGAAAGGCCCACGAAGCCCTGGTGATGTGCCCTCTGCATTCCCCTCCTGGCTCACTCCTCCAAACCCCAGGCTTCTGGGACAGTCTACACTCACGTGTGCTCCTTTGTTTGAGGTACTCCTACTTGGACCTGACCCCTTACTGGGAAGCCCAGGCTACAACAGCCCCAGCTCAGTGCCACGACTCTCATAACCCAACATAAACCTAACTTGGTTCTCAGCCTATTGGAGGTCAGCGTTTTGTTTTGTGATCATCAATCAGTCTCTTTCCCTGGACTCAGGTTCCTCGAAGGCATAGGACACCCCTAGTCTCTGTAGCCTTTGCCTGGACTAAATGCCTGACATGCAAAATTAAGCATATTTTGAATAAACGAATTAAAATTCTTTGCTATCATTGTTACATCTTTTAAATCTCTGTGTATCAAAGTTTCCTGTAATAGGATTAAAATATTGCAACAATTATATAGAAGTCATAACTTTTTAAATTATTGGGAAGAAATGCTGACTTCTCAGCTAATCATTCTAAGTCAATAAAATTACTTGAAGCCTTAGATGTCAAGAATGAATAAAAATGTGATCACATTTCTGTTATAACCAGTTCTCCCACTAGTTGTCTAAATTTGGGGTGTCTCATTTTAAGAATTGCACACCAACTTACCTGCTCATTGCCTGCCTTGAAGAATCAGGGTCAAGGAGTGCATATTGGGGATGGAGAAAGGGGCCAAGGGGGGCTGCTCTCTCCAGGAGGGAGATGACTACACGGAACACCGGGATTTGGGGAGGAAGGTGAAGAGCTTTCAGATATGGAGGAAATTTAAGTGAAGAATCTTCACCTTGCAAAGACCTGATGGAGACAGAGGGAGGGAACCAAATCAATCAACAGGAGAAGAGAGGAAGTTGAGCAATGGGAATGAAAAGAACCAAAGTAATTAATATGCACAAACAGGATTGCCTTGTATGATTTTTTTTTAAATCCATTACAGATTCTTGCAATATTAAATTGGTTGTTTTGCTAATTAAATCAGTTTTAGCATATACCAGTTATCACTTTTTTAGTTAGGATTTGGTTTGGATTGCCCTTCAATACAAAATTGATGCTACTGGCCAGCATTGCAACTGGACGTTTGTTTGCCCTGTGTTGGTGACGGGTCACACTGCCTGAGCCACCAGTAGTTTCTTTCACATTACCCACTGTGACTACTGCATGCATCTGATGATAATTAGCTAAGGTCAGGAGTACAGTCTGTGATGATGGAGTCAATTTTTTTATATGAAAAATTGCTAGCTTAGAATAGCAGTGAATTGTAATTTCACTCCGTATTATAAAAAAAGGGTACACATTCTTAAAAATGGATTTTATAGGATAATATCCCAAGATGTAAGAGAAGCCAACACCCAAAGTGCTGAGGCCTTAGTAAGAAAATCAACTGTTGAGCCCAGGGGAGCTGAGACAGCAATGGGGTCATTAAAGCTGTCATTTCAGCGACGCCCATCCTAGCGCTGCCTCACTTTGTCATGTCTCCTTTCCTCACTGCCCAGTCAGCTTATACTAAGGTATTGAGAAGGAACAAAAACATGGCCTTTGGAGTCAGGCGGCCCTGAATTAGATTTCTGGCTCACATGGGCCATGGGATCTTCTCAAAGTCACTACAAAACGTGGATAAAGAAGTCTACTTCCCAGGGTTGTCGGCGGAAGACGTGAATGAAACAGTCCATGTAAAGAGCGTTGCCATACAACAGGCACTTCACAAAGTGTAATTTGTTTCCTGTGAATGAGTAGACCAGAAAACTTCCAGCCCTTTTCTGATTTACAATGATAAGATGAGGCCAATCCAAAGTACTAAATGATAAGAAGACTTCAATCTCTTATTCTGCCTTTTTTTTAATGTCATATTCCATTTGAGTCCTAAGCATGTAAGTAGGTACCATGGAATGTAAACAAGTAAGAAACAGAAACATATTGAGTGAATAGTATGTGAAACAATGCAGTGACTCACAGAGATGAAATAGCTTCTTGGCTGCACAAAAGAAGTAACATTAAAACATTTAAAAAGAGACTTAACATAGGAATAAGCTATTTTAATCAAGCAAAACCAAATTTATATTCATTATTTCTAAAAATAAAATTAGATTTTTCCAACCCTTAACATCTGTATTTTATAATATCTTCTAACCAAAATACAGATGCTAAAACAGCAATTACAATATATCTTGTACAGCATACAGTATGTTCACTGTTTACACTTACTTTAATTCTAGTTGGTCATTATGTACTCAATGCATACTTAAACATCACTCATAAAGTTTTCACAATTAACAAAAAATGTGACAAGGCTGTCTTAAAACGGCTCTGCTATAAATTGTATAGAATATACAGAATTACAAAGTCAAGTATTTTTTTATCAAAATATACACCCCTCCCCGAAACTAACACAAGCTATCAACATTTTAAACGAATAATACAATTATAGAAAATATTTGCAAAATTATTTTTTCATGTATAAATATTCTGCCATATTTACTTTGGTCTAGAATTATCAGCATACAAGTCCACTTAAAAAATTTCCACACGTAAGGGCTGGGAGACATCACTACATGTAATAATTTTATATTTGGAGTTACCTCAAATCAAAATGAGTAAAATGCACAGTAATTCTCTTTGATTCATAATCCTAATTGAGATTAAACAAATTAGTAGATCACAGGATTGCTTATTCAATATTCTTATTATCAATTCGAAAATGCTTTCCATAAGCCCTTTGTGACTATCTTTTTCACAAAACTCAAATGAATAGTGCAGATGCACATATACACAATGATTAAAATAAAGTTGAATCCGCTTGTGTTTTCCCAGTTTCCTCTAGTACATAATACTGTATGTAAGCAAAAGAAGAAAAGATAAGTGCAGATACAATATTGGGGTTACTTAACAGCCAAGTACTACAGTATAAAAAGGTCAGCTTTGATCATGTCCTTTTCTGGGTGTTAAATGCTTTCATGCCCACCCAAATCAATGTTAAGTCTTTGTGGAGACATCACAACACGTGGAGAGAGAAACTGGAGTCCTTGAGTTATTTCTTCATAATGGCGACCTGGCGACCTTGGATAACCTTGGGTTTCCATCTATCAAATCCCATGGACATGAATGGCTGCAGGTCCCGGATCCTGCTCATACTGGTGATCAAAGGGTAGGAATGTTTTCTCTCTCTCTACTATTCTGGCAGTTTAAAAAGTAAGAATGATGAGTTCCAGCTTCCCAGGAACCCAGTCCACATGATGGAACATCCTACAGGGCAATCAGACTTTGAGGGCAATGTTGTTAATGGTGTGGGTAAGCATAAAAGAACATTAAAAAACTTGTTGGTTTTTTAGCAAGGGAGCTGGATGTCTAAAAAGATGAAGACAAAGAATCTGGCTTTGTGGGTATATTTCAATCATATAAGTAGGAGATAGAATCTTATCACTCCACATTCTACCTCCCCACACCCACCAAGACAAAGCTACTGTTTGGGGCAAGGAGGCTCTTGTCCACTCAAGTCATTAATGGGTGGGGTGGGGAGTATGTTTCTGTTGTCCTCCTGTTTTATCCTAGTGTATGTTTGTGGTCTGCGCAGCCTCCACGAAGGCTAATAATTGTAGGGATTAGGCTATCTGCTACTTTCAAGTGCCTGGAAATTCACCACAGTGTGCATGCCTCCTGCTAAATTTCCCAGACATGCCTCAAGTGGAATGGGAGGTGTCAGGTTTTACTTGAACCCTTGAGGCTGGTTAAGTCTGTCTGGCATAAACTTCCACATCCATGACCTTGTGATGGATGGAAGACTGCAGGGAGTTGCAGAAGAATCTGATCTTCATTTTCTGATGTGAGGCCATTGCAAAGTAATACGCAGCACAGGTAACCACAGGTACATTCTGGGAAGGCTCTGCCCCACAGATAAGGCATGACCTATGTTTTCTGTGACTTGACTAGACAAGTTGTAACAATAGTTCAGCCATAACTTCAAGAGAACAGCATTCCATCTAAAAGCATACATATGCTCTTACATCATATTCAAAATGCTTTCTATGGATTTTTCCATTAGTCCTCGTTATTTGCAGATCTATTGCTCATCATTATAATTCTCTACAGGGGACATGGACAGTTAAAAATGTCATAGTGATTTATATATGTATTTTACAAGTTTTGTGTTCTAGAAAAGTAGTTCTAGATAATGTATGAATGTCCTACTTAGGTTACTCTTTTCACACATATTTTCAACTATAATATTAAGTATTTCATATGTATCCATTAATTTAAACAATTTTTAATAGTGCAGAAGCTGGATGGGAATAATGACTGTCATAGCACATTTACCTTTTAACAGAGTTATGAATGTGTCCTTTTCATGGTATTTGACCCTTATTTTCTCCAGTGACTAAAGACAGTTCAGCAGCCAGTTCCTATTAGCACTTACTAGAGAGTTTTAAATTAGGCTAAAGTTAAGCTCTTTTATTTCACTGGCAGGAATACCACAGCTAAGAACTTCATAAACTTTCACAAGATACTTGGGATATTGGAAGATTCAGCTATTTCATTTTTGTGCACTTTTGCATGAAGTTAATGCTAAAACCCTAAGTTGCTATTAGGATCCTTTTTCTGGAATTTTCAGAAATGAGATTTTCTTTTTTACGTTTCACTCCTTCATGACTGTTGTATGAACAAAATTAAAAAAACAAAAAAGAAAAAACAACCCCAAACAAAGCCAACCTAACAAAACAAAAAAACAAACCAACAACTTATATTTTGAAGATCTTTCTAAGTATTGCCACTTAAAGGACTTTTTCAGCAACAGTTTGTACATGATCTTTTTGGTCACTGCCGTCTGAATCGATGGCATGTGGGTTCTCCAGGAAATCTGAGTCTTCATGGCACATGTCACCTTCATTCTTCTCCCGCTGACTTGGGCTTTTGAATAAGTGTTTCTTCTGGTGCATTCCAAGGGCAGCCGCTGTTTTGCAAATTTTGGGGCACTGGAAGCAGGGATAGCCCTTTCCATTATGTTCCCGCATGTGCCTCTGCTCATGATTCCTTTTTGTGGAGAGATACAAAAAACTCTGAAAGCAGAACTGACAGTGATAACGCTTCTCACCAGTATGGATTCTTTCATGGATTTTCAAGGTCTCGTTCAATGTGAAGGCCTTGTTGCAATACTGGCAGACGAACTCCTTCACGCCCAGGTGGATGCGTTCGTGTTTCTGTAAGTTTCCTTGCACGGAAAAGCACCGCCCGCAGGTCTTGCACTGGTACGGCTTCTCACCCGTGTGGCACCTCATGTGCATCTTGAGTGTGGAAGGGCTCTGGAACTGCTTGGCGCAGAGCTCGCAGGCATAAGGCCTGGCAGTGAGATGCCGGTGGGGCCTTCCTTGACTTCCAGTTCCCGAGGCCTTGTCACCATCGCAGAGCTCACACTGCAACTTGGGCATCTCTTTATTTTCTTCCTCCTCGAAGGCCTTCTCCTGAGGAGCCTTCCCCACAGCACAGTCCAGTTCTGCCGGGTATTTACACTTACTGCTTGGGCTTCTGTTCTCATCCTCTTTCCTCCAGTTGACTTTCCTCATTTTTCTCAACTGCCTGGATTTCTTCTTGGGCTTGTAGTTGTAATAAGGGCGCCAAGGTTGGTCCGTGGAGTCCTGGTCACTTGCATCATCAAACATTTCGCTCAGCTCCACACACTCGGTCTGACAAAGCCCGAGTGGGCTGTCTCTGTTGGCATCTGCATCATTCTCCTGTGGCAAAGTCTCCTCCTGCACTTGATAACTCGACCGTCTCCCTCTTTTACAGAATAATTTAGACCCCAGAATATGCCTCTTCACAATGGCTTCATTTCCAATCTTTACTGTTATTTGGCAAAGGGGTGCCACGTTGCTACTGGTGGAGGTCCCAGGCAGAGCCGGCTTTGCGATGTACGTTTCAGTTTTACCAGTTTCTTTAGTGATATTTGTGGTTTTGCTCAACGACCCTCCCGGATCAGCGTCATATTTCGATTCCTCTGGTGTTTCTCCCTTGTTACCTGGTATAGGTTTCTTTTTCTCCTTAATGCTTTTGGGTCTGCTGACCACTCTACCCACTTTCTCTGGCTCAGGTTTGCCGTCATCTCTCCGGGACTGACCGACAGTTGGGTCTGAAGGGGCCCTCCTGTTGCTCGTCATGGCAGCAACAGTGTTACTGTGCATGATCACCGACGAAAACTGGCTACTATGCACAATGACCGAAGGCGCTGAACCGCTGTAGCTGATCACGGAGGCTGAGTTCTCACTGCTATTACTCAAGGGCAAACCGGGCACATCTCCCACTGGGAGGGCGGAACCAGGGGTGTTTTCAGTGGAAGAAACTGACACTTCAGTTGAATAAAAGTTATTGTCAAGATCGACTTTCAGCGTCTCCTCTCCCCATTTGGTACCCTCTGCATTTGGTACACTGGCGGAAGTGGATACGTCCTGACATGTGGATGTTTCCAATGGGGCGGCTGGGCTGCTGGTCAAGGTGTTTACACTGTCTTGGAAATTCAGTGTAGGTAATTCAGAGCTGTGTGGATTCTGAATAACATAGGGACCAGGCACAGGCTCATTTATCTGACTGTTTTCTTGAGCATTTTCATAGGAAGAATTGCGGTAGCTCTTATAAGGAGCCCTCTTGCATTTCATAGGCAATAGCCGATAAAGTTTATATGGATAAACACTAGGCTTCAAGCCTCCATTTGCTGTTTTTTTACTGATGGAAAGTCTGTGGTCAATGGCATGGAAAGACTTCTGATGGTTTTTGAGTATATAGTAGGTCATGAAAGTTTCAAGGCAGAAAATGCACTGGTACCGCCTTTCTCCCGTATGCCAAATTTCATGTCTTGTCCTGTACTCAGCCAATGCAAATACTTTGTTGCAGTAATGGCAAGGATATGTTCTCCTCCATGAATGAACATTTGCATGTCGTCGGAGGCTGGATAAAGTCACGTAACTGCGTTTGCATACCACACAACTGTAGAGCATTTGTCCATTAACAAATTTAACCATGTGGTCCGCTTCTGGCAAGGAACTTCCGGCACTGGAAAACTCGCCAATCCTGTTTTCTGATAATAAAGGTTCTGGACCTGTGAATGAATTTCCATTTTGTCCAATGGTAGGATAGTTTTCTAAAAAGCGCTCGTTTCCTCCGGGAACGGGCACGTGGCTTGACCGCATACAGATGTGTTCGTGCCGGTCCAGTCTGTTCAGTGTGCTGAACTGTTTGTTGCAGTACTTGCACACTAAAGGCTCCTGGGTGGGCTTGTGGAGCTGCATGTGGGCACTGAGCAAAGTGCTGCTGTCAAAAGATTTGGAACAACAGCTACAGTTGTAAACGAGAGGGGGTACTTCTGCTGGCGGAGGCACCGGAACGTCAGAGGATTTGTTTTCCTCTTCCCTCGGATGGGGGACGTCTGCTTCATTGTCGGGAGATTTTGAATGAGAAAGACCTGCAGCTGGCTGCGGACTTTCTTGATTCACCTCCAAGCTGGTTACCGGAGGGGGTGCTGTATCTTCTGTAGGTGAATCAGAATCCTGTGGTACGGAGAGTGTCTTTGGCTTTCGGCATGTTTTCGGTTTTGCTGCAAGAGCTTCACCATTTTCTTTACCTGTTTTCCCAGGTGAACTGCTATCGTGTTCACGTGCAGGCTGACTCCTGTATGCCTCAGCCACCGAAGAAACGGCATACGAGTGTTCTGCCAGGGTGCGGACAGGCTCTGCCTCGTGACAGACATCAGTCCTCTCCAGGCAAAGGCTAGTAGTGGTTCTCATGGAGTCAGAGACCTTTTTGAAACTAGCCCTCAAGTCCAGAGGAGAAAACATGTTATTATTATTTTCTGTTTCAATGATGGAAAACGCATTTGTGATCCTTGGCCCATTCGTGATAGCTGGTTCTTCATGCCTTTTTTCATTTTTTTCTTCCTTAACCACTCCCTTCTCCGTAATGCAGAATACATAGGGACCTGGAGAATTTGTGAAGCTGCGATCAGTAAGCTCTTCCAAGAAGGATATCCCCAGCTTCTTCCCTGCAGCTGCAAGATCAGTGACTGTTTCCTGTCTCTTGACGACGACCGTGGAGCTGTAGATATAATTAAGGATTTCTGTAAACACTTCAGCTTTGAGATCATCCAGCTCCAGGACGTGGCTGGAAATACAGATTGTATGGCTCCAAAAGATATTTTTGAAATAAAGGCTTGAAGCAGCCAGGACATTGCTGTGGGCTTTAAATTTGGTGTCTTCCACGATGATTGTGACATCGCATAAAATGCCCCGAATGCGCTGCTCATTTAACATGGAGAGCACTGTGTCACTGTGAAAGTCGTCCTTGAGGTCCCTGGAAAGGGACATGACTGTCATCTGAAACAAGAGGAGAGAAATGGTTAGAGACCCTTCCACAAGTAACTTCTTTATTTCTAGACTATTTACAACCTCTTCAAAACTTTTTTTTTTTGGTATAAAAATACACGTGTTGTTGGTTCCAAGACTCAGTGTCAACATTACCAACTAAATCTTTATGTTACCCCAGACTGTTTCTCATGCCATTGCTAACAGTTGTTATAGTTGGAAATCCTCCCAGAACTCTTTCTCCTTTCTCCGAAGTTGCAACCAAATATTATATACATGTTCCAATTTTGGGGGAGGGGTGTTTCTTCCCCCGAAATGTTAAGGGTCTTGCCATCACTCGATCCTGTTGCACTGAACTAGAGCTGGGCAATACCAGACTCCTGCCACAAGCCTCCTGTTTTTACAAAAATATCTCTGATGACCCGATCCAAACATAATTCATAAAACAGGAAAATTATTTTTAAAATCTTTTCCCCAAGTGCACAGTACCTGGGTGTAAAGGTAGTGCCTGCTCAGAGAAGCAAGAGCTGGAGGAGCCGTACTGAGCGGCTCTGAAGGGCTTCTGAGAGGAAGTCTCAGTCTGTGGGACTGAATCTGACCAGCAGGGCACCTGGTGCTACTCTGTGCTCCTGGCCCATGTGGGGACCCCTCTCATTCCTTCTCTGATTTTCCCTTTCAGTACAGCCAGACTAGGGTTTTCAAAATGACCTCTGGGAGGTACTGAAGGCATACAAAAAGAAAATATAACACAAAACCAGGAAAGTCTGTTTCTGAGTCTACAGCACTGAATCTAGCACAGGTGCAAAACTAGCACAATTTACAGGCATAGTGGCTCATGTTCTGGTTTGAGGATCTTATCTCTATTCTTCCCAGAGCCTAGTTCTTGTTATTTTCTACATATGTTCTGTACTATGAGCCTGTGATGGTGAGAGCCTACCAACTAATATCCTAGTTAGGGATAGTTAAAAGCAGTTTTTGTTCTCATCCCCAATAAAAAATAAATGGTACACAGTAACCAAAGACACAAATGAAATGAAAACTCAACCTTACTGTGTGTGATGCAAACTCCTCTGGTCTAAAGGACATACTAACCAGCTATTCAGTGTCTCTGTCCCTTATCAAGTGACATCCAGAAAGCCATATAGCTTTACAATATTTCTTTAGCTCACAGAGGCTTCCTAGCACTAACATACGAACATGTAGCTCACAGCTTTCAATCAGCTGGAAAGAGCAAATGGCCACATACAGAGTTTCTTTATACCTTTTTGTAAAGCTGTCATAAGCCATGTCCATTATGCTGTTTAATGTCCTTTATATAAGGGTCCATTTGATACATTCTTTTATCTCATTCAGCCATTGGAGAAAGTACATTTCTATTAACAAATCCTTTAATTTAGATAAAGAGAATAATATACTCACCATGTTTCTCTTATAATTCTCAGGATAAGGAAGCTTAGAAGTAACTGTTACCATCAATTGTTGTAGCCAGTTAGCCTGGATCTCTGGTCTGACTACTGTCTCTAATGTTAGTTCTATCTTGTTTACCCAGCCATTAACTGCAATCTTCCATGAATCTCTTCTAGAAGTGTGGGGGACCAAATCGATAAATAAAAGTGGGATTAAGTGAAATGGAATTTTTATGGCTCCCTCTGTGTCCCTGAAGGGAGAAAGGAACACCCCTGAACAGGTCACAGGAGTCTGTAATTCACTGGTTATAGATCAATAATACTGTGCTGACATTTTTTTGGTCTTCCCTGAGGTCTATTCCAGGCCTCTATAGGATCTTTCTCTCTTGACTCATACATATTATAGTCTTATCCTGTTTGGCTTCTTTGCAGCCAAGACATTATTTCAATTCTTTATTCAGCCTGACTGGATAGTCTCAGATCTGGCAAAACATATGCTATTTGATTTAAAAAGGTGGCTTCCACCTTGGCTTAGTTCTACGTTGACATTTATTTTGTCTTTCTACCTCAAAACTACTACTTCTTCCAAAACACTCCAATCCACAGCACTTTGAACCTCCCATTGGGATCTGCCTCCATTTGGGGAATACAATATTCCACATCAAGCTAGTAAATGTATTCTGGGATATCAGATTAAGTCTCCCTACTTCTGTGGGATTCTGATTCTTAAATTATCCAGTTAGGATGATTAGTAAAGTGGCCAACTGCTAACATTTCATATCTTAGTCATACTTACAGCTAGAATAACATATATAATAGGAAGTATCATTATAATATATGTCATTAAAACATCCTCATAACTTTGGAAAATCCAAGTATTACCTCTTTCAGGGGAGTATCTACCTCTGTGGGGCAGAAATCTTTTAAAAATCATAGTTACTAAGTAGCACCTTGATTTGCTGGTTGGGCACACACAATGATCTTCACTCGTGCTTCAGTTTTATCCAGCAATTGTGTTAATGGCCACCACGGCCAGACACAAGGCTCCCAGCTAGAGATATGGAGGAGAGTAAGGCAAGTCTTTGCCCTCAAGGAGTTGAGTCTAGAGGAAGGAAGAGAGCTGTCAGCTAACAACTGGAATCCATGATGTCAGGCCTCATGCTAAAGGTATGTACCAAGTGTCAAAAGAAGAAATGACAACTTATTATTTAGAGGGGTCTGGAAAGCTTGGCCTCAGTAAATAAAACGGAGGTGTGGGAAGGGCAGCACCTAAGCAGAAGGAACACCATGGGAAAATAAAAGCTCAGGGACTGATAAGCGGGTCTGTGTGATGGCAGCATAGAGCATGCACCCTGCTCTGTCCCCAGCGTCCTCAGCAGTGCTAGGCACATGGCAGGCCTCCATACTATGTGCTGAGTGAGATGGGCTCGGAGAGAAAGGGGCAGACCCAGTCATCAAGGGCTCTCGAAGACCCCCCCCCATCAGATATTTTATACTGTGGGTCATAATCAGATTTGATTTGGAGGAAAAAAAAATCACTCAGACTGCAGTGTGCTAAAATCAAAGGGAGGTGAGCTGGTGGCAGGAAGCCAACTAGCGAGGCCATTCTGGTGGTCCAGGGGAGAAGAAGCCTATCCGCCCAGACGGGGCGAGAGCCTGGGGAAGGCAGACAGCCCCACCCCCAGCTAGGAAAGTGGCGGGAGAGGGTGGTACCTGAACTCAAAACTGAATTCCCTCTACCAGTATTCCCTGAACAACTGCTAAGTATAAGGCATCAGGCTAAATGCCATAGGAAGACAGGCGTTGACTGCTCCTGTGGACAGGTGCTTACGGAATAACCTACTTGATGCTTTGCAACAGTAGTTCTCAAACCTGGCTATGGACCAAAATCATCCGTGAAGCTTTAAAATAATACAGATTTACAGATTCCTCTCCATTCACTCACACAGATTCTAGTTTACAACACCTAAGGTGAGACCCTGGGATCTGTTTACTTTTTTAAAATTAAAGTATCATTGATATACTATCTTATGAAGGTTTCACATGAGCAACATTATGGTTTCAACATTCACCCATATTATCAAGTCCCCACCACACCCCACTGCAGTCACTGTCCATTAGCATAAGATGCTATAGAGTCATTACTTGTCTTCTCCATTCTATACTGCCTTCTCCGTGACCTACCTATATTGCTATATTGTGACTGCTAATTATAATGCCTCTTGATCCCCTCCTCCCTCCCTCCCCAGCCACCCTCTCTAACCCCTTCCCTTTGGTAACTGCCAGTCTTTCTTGGAGTCTGTGAGTCTGATGCTGTTTTGTTCCTTCAGTTCTGCTTTGTTGTTACACTCCACAAATAAGGGATATCATGTGGTACTTGTCTTTTTCCACCTGGCTTATTTCACTGAGCATAATGCCCTCAAGCTCCATCTACATTGTTGAAAATTAGGATTTGTTTTCTTCTAATGGCTGAATATGGCATTGTGTATATGTACCATGCTTTCTTTAGCCATTCATCTACTTACTGATGGACACTTAGGTCACTTCCCCACCTTGGCTATTGTAAATAGTGCTGCGACGATAAACATAGGGGTGCATATGTCTTTTTGAATCAGGGATCTTGTTTTCTTCAGGTAAATTCCTAGGAGTGGAATTACTGGGTCAAATTATTTTTATACTTCTATTTATTTAGTGAATAAGGAATACATTCATATGATACCAAATTCAAAAGACACAATAAGTAAAGATTAAAAGTCTCCTTCCCACCTTATCTCTGAGGTTCTTCAGGTAGTTTTTATCAATCAGCCAGAAACTGGCATGGGGGCTGAAACTAAAACCCCATGCTCTAAATGAAATGAAAATTCTGCCCTCAAGGCTTGTGGTATATAGCAGGGGAGGTAAGACGAGTTCATGAAATGCTGCAAAACAAAGACACCCAATGGATGTGTAGGAGAGGCATGCTGTAAGAGGTGCCAGGAGTCTGAGGAGAACGGCTTGGGAGCAGGTAGGAGGGAGGGCACCCAGGAGAGAGGCTGGCAAACCCTTGCAGGAGGAAGTGGCATTTACTGGGTCTTGATGAGAACAATTTAGCTCTGCAGATTTGGACAAAGGGAATCTAGTCAGAAAGAGGCACTTAGTAAGAGTTTCATACCCTCTGGAAGCCTAACCATCAGAAGAGTCAATGTAACAATTTAAAGAATCCAAATCTGCAAATGCAAATTGAAAAAGCAGTAAATGTTGTTGAAGATACAATTTAGTCTTTAAGATGCTAGCATCTACTTTTCCAAACTTACCAGTGCCCTCCCTCCAAAACACCTAGTTTTGTCATCAACAGCTTCAGGACTGTAGTTATCTGATGATCTCAGCAGGTGCTAGAGCTAAAAGTCATGTTCTACATGTCAAAAGTGCAATAAAGAGTTCAAAGTCTGCAAACCAGAAGGGATGATACTGTGGGTCATAATCAGATTTGATTTGGGGGGAAAAAAATCACTCAGACTGTAGTGTGCTGAAATCAAAGGGAGGCCACAGACAAATCTGATCCCCACAGGGATTGTCTGACCCACATGATTTTTGGAACCATGTTTTTGAAAAACTGAGTTGATGTTG